GGCCAAAGTTTAGATACGTGGAAGAAATAGGAAGGTGAAATTTCAAATGCAATAGAAACATAAAATGAACAGTGAGCGAGGAGGCAAGATAGGTAGTCAGGAGGCAGGGGATACAGGGACCATAGTCACACTCCAGGGTGGTGGTGTGATTTCGTGCAGTAGCTTTAGTGGAAGTCAGAGAGTTAGCAAATGCCCTTTGTAAACTGAACTAAGAGTCTCAAATTTGTAGTTTGTTTGCTTGCTTGCTTGCTTTGAAACAGCTTTTCACTATGTAGCCTAGGCAGACCTTGAACTTACTCTGAAACTCAAGCTGGCCTCAAACTTATGATCCTCCTGTCTCAGCCTCCCATATGCTGGGTTTGTGGGCAGGTGCCACCATGCCTTGCAGGACTTTAAACATGAGAATAATGAATCTAATTTTCATTTTTAAAAAATAATTCATTGGGCCATGTGGTGGAGAAAGCATCAAAGCATTGATTCTCATTTGGGAGGGATTTGGCCCACCAAGCGACGTTTGGTGATCACTGGAGACATTAGATTGTTATGTGAGACAGTCCTTCCCCTCTTTCCCTTCTCCTTATACCTTCCCATTTTCAAAAAAGTCTGTCTTTGTTTTACTCTTCTATTTATATTTGGATTTTTCAAATAAGAGAAACTGTGTGGTACTTGACTTTCTATGTCTGCCTTATTTTCTTAACATTATGGTTTCAAGATCCATCCATTGTCTTATGAATGACATGATTTTTTTCTTCTTTATGGCTGAATAAGGTTTCATTGTATAAATAAAACATTTTTGTTTACTCATAGGCATCTAGGCTGTTTCTAGAGCTTAGCTATTATGAATTGTGCTGCTAGAAACATGTGTATGCATATATTACTATAGTAGGAAGTCTTTTGGGAATATACCTAGGAGAAGCATAACCAGGTCAAATAAAATTTCTGTTTTTAGTTTTCTGAAGAATTTCCATACTGATTTCCAAAACATTTGATAAGAGAGACCTAAGCCTTATAGTTAGAAGGAATGTACACAGGGGACGCATTTACAAGACAGGAGAAAGAGGGGAAGGATAACTGCTGGACTGAGGCATGCCTCCCAAAGAGGCATGACAGCATGGAATTCTGAGAATGAATGCAGGTTAAAAAGGAGATAGACGGGATTTCCAGCTCCATGTATAGGAAGTTAGAAATAGAGGAGAGCAGCTGGTGGTGGCATACCCCCCTAATTAGTTTCCATGATGAAATAAGAAGTGAAGCCACCTACATAAAAGGAAGTGTCAGGGAGGTATGGATCAGAAAGAAAGAAAAAAGGGAAGGAAAGAGTACAGACAGCTGTTCTGGGAAATGGAAGGAGAGCTAATTGGGAACTGGAGGATTTCCATGAATAAACTGAAATCGGTCCATTTCTAGTAGAAACTGTGGAGAATTTTGTGTGGTTTACTTGTGTAGTACACATGTAAGAGCAGATGAGAGAGATAGTTGGAGTGATCCCTGGTTGAGAAGTGAAAGCTGTTGTCTTATTAAAATGTAGATGTAGGTGGTTCAGAGATTCTGACACCTGGGCTGCATGTCAGAGTCAGCTGTGGAGCATTCTAACAGGTACAGATGTCTGTCACCCACCCCAGATCCACTGAGTCAGCCTCTGAGGTCTGCCTTTCCTATCTTTGGAAAGGTCTACAGGTATTTCTGATGTTTTCCCAGAATGGAAGCCCATAGTTCAGACCAGTGATGCTAAACGTGTCAGAATTTTCATTGGCTCTGGCACATGTCCTGTAGGTTCACCATCACTCATTTGGACCTAGGGAAATTTGCTTCCATCTAGAAGATCTCCCACTCTGGCACAGAGCATGTGGTGTACAGTCTGTTCTTTTTGGGACTCTGGTCCCTAAGAGGGTGGGTAATTGTGAGACATCTTTGAGAAGTGAGTGCCATAGTATTTTCAGTAAATTTAGAAATAATTGTGGGTTTGGCCATAGGTTGGCAGAGTTGCAAAGAATTTAGGTTAGTGTTTTTCTTTGCAGGTTGAAGAGGCCCTGCAACTCAACTTTGGCTTTGCTAGACCACAAAAGGCATAGTCTATGAATTCTACATTTCATGGGTGCCTTAGTTGGAGCACTAAAATATAAAGCTTCCTGGGGGATGCAACACTTCAATCATTCTGCCCAGCTCTGCCTCTGACTTGTGTGTGTGGTTCATCTGGCCCATGAGCAAGCAGTTCTTTATTGCCCCTGATCCCATTGCCTAGACTCTGAGTGACTTTTCAAACCCATCATCTGTGCCTGAAATGTAGTGACAAGTGGACTTCCTGATTTTCCACTTCTAGTCCTATAGCTCAAGGACCTTACAAGGATGTGTTTTAAACAAATGTGTATTTTTAAAATGGAGAAAACCTAGTATGGACTCATTAATGCCCTACTAACAGATGGGGTTGCCTTAGTGGTAGGTGGAGAAACCCCTAAACAGTCTAACTTGGCTCCTATAAAGTACTTGAGAAAGTACCTTATAATGGAGACAGTGTAGGCAAAAAGAAAAATTAGTAGGTCTTTTTTTGTTTTGTTTGTTTGTTTTGAGAGAAGGTCTCGATTTGTAGCCCAAGCTTCCCTGGAACTCATGGCAGTCCTCCTGTGTCAGGCTCCTTAGTGCGGGGATATAGTTGTGCACCACCATACCAATTAAAATTAGTAGAAATTTTATGCAAAGAAAACTTCAGTGGCATGCATGCTTTTTTTCTTGAGTCCTTCAACATTTTTATCAGAAATTTGGATGAAATGAAAAGACTTGCGTATCACCATTGCCAAAAATTCAAAACTAGAAGGCATAGCTTATTTGTTTGGTTAGTGAATCAAAAGTCAGGAAGACCTTGGAAGATTGAAAGTGGATCAAAACAAATGCTACTTTTTCTAAGTTTTCTTTCTTTTTTTTTTGTAAGGTTTTTTTTCTTAGTTATTAAAGGGACAAATGTGCCTTGTTAAAAAATAAACTGAGATAATACACAAAGTTATGAAAAGGAAAATCAATATAGTTGCTTTTTGAATTACTCTAAATGAAGCTCAGCTGAAATGAGCCTGTAAGCATTCAGTTCCTAAATCAGTTGTAGAGTAGCATAGGGAGAAGGACAGATCTGAAAAGGGCCAGGAATGGTAATTGACTGTGCACACTGTGTCAGCATTTGATGCCACTGTCACAAAACCCAGTAGCCAGATCCCTGTTAACTAAAGACAATCCAGTATAGAATAGTACCTGGAAGCTGTGCTACATGAGGAATGGTTGAAGGAACAGTGTGATCTTAATGCCGAGGAGAAAGCCTGGAAGGCATTCAGAGATACTTCCGATACTTATGGAGTTGTTTTAGTAAAAGCATGTTCTGAATCATTCAGTGTGACACAGTAACAAAGATCAATCAGCAGGAGTAGCAGGAAGTGAATTTTGGTTCAGTGTTGGGATAAATGTACTTTCTAACAGTTACAGAATAGACTTGCTGTTCAGCATGGCAGTAAGTCCTTGGCACTCATGTTAGTTATTATCTCATTACAGGAGCTAAATACCTGTCACCCACAAGTGGAGCAAAGATTTTAGTTCACAGTTTGTGTAAGTTTCAATCTGTAGTCACCTGGCTCCAAAGCTGTGTGGCATAGTCGAGGAGAAACAGTCCATGCCAGGAGAGAGAGGAAAAAGCAAGCCCACCTTCCATCTCTCTCTTTATATTTCATCCAGTTTGTAAGCTTATTCGTTGGTACCACCCACATCCAGATTGGGGCTTCCATTACTCAGAATTATGCTCAACCTACTTAGTTACCTCAGACCTTTAATCCATAGTCTCCCACCCACGATCCAGCCAGCCCTGAAAAGCCCCTCCTATGCTTTGGGGAGACATCAAGATCCAGGCCATAACAGCAATGGGATGACCTGAAGCAGGCATTCAGTAGTTAGGTCTCTGAAATGCAAGGGGAAAGTATTGTTCCCCATCTTCTTAATAAAATATTCCAAAAGTGAGAATATAAGTGTACATACTGATCAGACTTGCCATTTTAATACTTGTCACACTTTCTTCATCTTGGCATCATGTTTTTTAAAGATATAAAATACTGTAGATACATGCAAAGTGTTTACCCCAGTCTCATCCTGCTTACTCCTTTTCTCCTAAATTGGCACTAAGTCTTCCTGTCTATATTTTTTAATTTTTACTTTATTTGTGTGTGTATATCTATACAATACACAGTGTTATTTTGACAAATACTTGTTTTTGCAAGATTCTTTCTACATTTAGCACTATATTGTAGATTTACTGTGATAATACACACATATTGTTTATTACTTTTCAATTTTGTATGCAGATATATATTTTCTTTTTGTATGAATTCATTTTTTTTCTAATATAATCAATCCTAGATTGCATACCCTTTTTTGAGTAGAAGAGATTTCTCCATTGGAAAGAGTGTTACACTCAATGGCTAAATGTTATGCAGATTCAAAATTCATTTAAATTCAACCGAAATTGTGTGATCTCTAGAGATGAATAAGATAATTCATTGTCTACAGGCTTGGTAAACTCTGTACTTTCTGTTTATAGTCTCTACTTATAAGCACATATAAACCTACTGTTTTATGTAGTCAGTTACTTTTACTATTATGGGCATAGTCTGGGATATCTGTACCTGTTGGTAAGATTTTTCTTTCTCTTTTCCTTTCCCTTGACACAGGACCAAGCACAGGGCACACGCTGGGTTATTGCTCTGCCATTAGATACATCCCCAAGCCCTTTGTAGTACACGTTTCAACCTTCACTTGGTGTTGACTAATAGTTTTTGATAAACTGAATTATGTGTTGTCCAAGAGGATACAAAATTAATTATTTTCCAGAATTTTTTTGTCCACTTATGTCATATTAAAAATGTATTTGTTTTTATACTTTCTGTTGAAATTTGCTTTTTAAAAAATTAGTAAATGCTAATGATGGTATATTTCTGTGTGTGCCATTGTGTCTGTATGTATTGTGTTTTTAGGAAAAAGGCTCAGCTCAAGAAAAAAAGAGGCATCCCTCAAATTAATGAACAAATGCTATTTCATGGTACCAGCAGTGAATTTGTGGAAGCGATTTGCATTCATAATTTTGATTGGAGAATAAATGGCATACATGGCGCTCTCTTTGGAAAAGGTAATCATCAGAATTCCAAATCACAAGTCCAAAGAGAAAGATTTTTCTCTTTAGAAATAATTGACTGTTTTCTAATTCAGGAATTTGGTAATAGTTAAATTAAAAGTTGCTAAATTAGGTTCTAAGCATATACTTAGTTTCTGAGCCATAGAAGAGTGAATTTTTTATACACACAGGGTGGAAGTGAGACTTTTCCACTTTGTCAGATTAAATAGCTCCCCCAAAATCCCAATTACTCAGATGGAGCATGTCCATGTTAAAGAATTTTGTGTTAGATTTAATTTTCATGTGTAATTCCTTTCTATGTATGAGCCTGTACACTAATCTGCTTTCTAGTAATACATAGATGATGATATAATAAGTTAATTATATTGTACACCAGTATAAATAAGTGTTTTTATTTTGTTTTGTTTTGAAGAACATTATAGGTAAGTCTGTTAATGGGAAATAAGGAATATTGAGGGGGAAGCTTCTCCTGTTTCTAGTATTGAGAAAGTTCAAGCTGTTCAGTTTATCCCCACAAGCATTAAGGAAAGAGATGAGGGCCACAGGTAGGGAATGGACATTTGTTCTTCTAGTCATTACCTAAATCACTTCCATACTGCACTGGGTGAAGATGGGACTTTACAGTTCATTGGCAAAATTGGTTAGAATAGGTATTCCCTTAACACTGGCAGTCTCTCCTGTCTACCATTTCCTAAGAGTAGGCTGCTTTATTGAGTTTTCATGTGTAGACAGTGAAAACCCATGAAAATGCTCTTCTGGAATGCTCAGGCATGAGTATCTGTTAGCTTTCTCTTACTAAAGTACCTGAGAGAAGCAACTTAAAGTGGGAGAGGGTTTACTTTGGCTTCAAGTTTCAGTGTGTGATCAGTTGGCCATGTTGCTTTTGGGCCATGTTAAAGGCAGATGCTGATAGCACAGAGTGCCTAGAAGAGCAATCTCCTTTCATAGCAAATGAGAAATGAAGAGAAAGACAGGCATAGGAGGATCACGTGCCTTCAGGGCTGCATCCTCTCATAAGGCCCTGTCTCCTAAAAGTTCCACCACTTCCCCTAGTACCAGGCCAGGGACCAACCCCTGCGGGCACTGGCCTTCGGGGGACACTTAGGATCTAGACCATAGCAACAGCGTCATACTGTCCTGGAAATCTTTTCCAGAATATAAAGCTCCATTATTTCCAGGATTGTTACTGGATTGTTAGCCTGCATCATAGAAATATAACTTCTTCCGGTTGAATTCATCTCTGTGAACTGAAGTTTTCCTTATATTCTCCAGAGCTTTGTTGAATGTTGGACAAGGTGAGAGGAGGAGACTGGTAAAAGGAAATAGAAATAGGAAGGAATTCCACACAATAAAAGTCCAGGTCCTCAACCCCCCAGTAAAGAAAACAACAACAACAACAAAAGTCAGGTCCTGCCACACTTTTAATTCTGAAACAGTTTTAATGTGTTTTACTTAGTGAGTTTCTCTGGGAGATTTCTTCTGAAGTAGAAGACTGGTATTTATAATTAAATGGAAGTAGCAAAGTATACCGGAGAAACTTGATTTATACCAACAAATCTATGCTTCTGCTAGGCAGTCTATCAGCTGCTGTCCCTACAAATGAATTTCTCTTCTTTTAAAGACCTGAGGATGAGAAGAGTCCTACTTATTTTTGTAATACGTCTCCCTATGTCAGTTCTCCTGACAGTTAGAATGTTTTTGCTTATGTTTAGTATGTTCTTAGGAGTAATCTCAGCTCTCTTTGGTCCTTTTTGTTCAAGGAACCTATTTTGCTAGAGATGCTGCTTACTCCAGCCGCTTCTGCAAAGATGACATAAAGCACGGAAACACATTCCAGATTCATGGTGTCAGCCTGCCACAGCGGCATCTGTTTAGAGCGTATAAATCTATGTTTCTTGCTCGGGTGCTAATTGGAGATTACATAAACGGAGATTCCAAATACATGCGACCCCCTTCCAAAGACGGGAGCTATGTGAATTTATATGACAGCTGTGTGGATGATACCTGGAATCCAAGGATTTTTGTGGTTTTTGATGCCAACCAAATCTACCCTGAGTACTTAATAGACTTTCACTGATTTCACTTCCAATTCTCAGTGGTCAAGAGAATTTTCTTCTTTTTTGCAGGATTTGCTCTCCTGTCATCTAGCTACTAAATATTAATTATCTGATACTTTTGAACCAGATAAGAAAAAGTAGCTTCCACATAAAAAGACATACTGACTAAAAGGTTGGTTTTCTGTTGCTTTGTTTTTGTGTTACTTACAGTTTTTACTATTAAAAATTGCCATTTTAACACATAAGGGTAAGATAACATTAAAAACCAAATCAGCTGAGGCTCAGTTACCATGGTTATACAATCTTTAAATTTTACACATGATGGGATGAATGCTTTTAGTTCAACTGGATTTATTCATCTACAGTATATATTCAGAAAATAAAAATATAGGCAAACATATCCTTTTAGAAAAACTGATCCTTTGTAAATTGAATTCTTGTGTTATTGACCACCAGTCAACTTATGATTTGGTTGGTCTTTGAAAGAGAGATATAATCCCTGAAACAGTTTGGGCCTTTTGAAAGAAGAAATAAGGACATTATTTGCAGTACTATCCAGCAAGCCAGAGGAGAGAATCAAGATAGCCTTGCCTCCCATTGCCTTCAGATCACAAGCTATATCCTCAGACTTGTTCTGTCCTTCTCTTTGGTCTCCTGTGTTTGAAATGACAGCCACTGCAGACTGATTTATCTCAAGTTCACCCACCAGGGTTCTCCAATTCTTACACTGATACTTGGTGTGCAAGCTTTATTTATTGTTTAAAATAATTGTTTTTCCTTTGTTTCAGAAGTAATCCTTACAGTGATTACTTCAAAAATGTTTTGAACTCCCCTCTACAATATAGTTACTCAACAGTGATTTTGAAAATTCATATTTCTTCATTTTGAATGATTTCAGAAAACAGAATGCTCAAAACAAGATTGCTTACCCTTTTGAATAGCAACAGGCATCTTCTAATTCTTGAATGGTTAGGTGGAATTCATTATTGTCTTTAGTGGAGGTACATTTACCATCCATTTTATTACTCTGTAAGGAAGAATAAACAATGTTGGGCCAACTTACTATCTGTAAGTGTTCTAGCAGAGACTAGACAACAGTTTGGCAGCATATTGTACAGGAGTTGAATTACTGGATGAGGGATTGTCCAGATGATTTTTAAGAGTCTTTCTAACATTGATTTTTTTCATAATTCTCTCTGAAAAAGAGAACACTTGTACCATGCTTTTCTCAGAAAATGTTTTTTTAAACTTTTCATGATACTGAATTCTCTCTCTGGTATCCTTATTTGGCAGAAAGTTAGTGAACACAGTTTAACTTCTAGAAAGTTCTCATGCCCATATTGTTCTGTTCAACCACTTGAGTTAGGGAGGCATATAGAAATAATAGAAATAGCATATACAATTGGGATGGTAATTCTCTAAGTGCTGTATACCATCAGACTTTCATTTTAGCCCAGAATAATGTAATTGGGCAGTGGAAAGTAAATAAACAGTAGACAGGGAGTTGCATGCACAATACTTTGAAACAAAGTAACAAAGATTTCCTGACTCAGATGTACAGATTCATTGCTATTTAGATAAAATGACTGGAATATTTGGAAAGCGCACATCCAGAAAACATGGAGATCATCATGGAAACAAAGCCACAGGACTGCCTTTGAAAGGCAGCGCAACATAGCTGGAGACTCATTTGCAAAACACAATGTTAGACACATTGCAAATTCAGATTTTCAGAACCTTTGTATTCTATTATTTAAAATAGTTGCCCTTTTAACATGGCTATCTTTGCCCTGCCACTTTAACAGGGATATCTTTCTCACCACTTGAATACCTATTGGAATATTTTGCGGGGGGAGAGGGGGGCTTGTTTTTCTTTTAGACATGTGCAGATCTTACTTAAGGTGACTAAGAGCGCACAGTTAAGTATTTGCAGTCTGTGAAATCTGAGTCTATGTAGCTGGTTGATACAAGGTGCAGTGCAGTAGCTATTGTAAGAAAGTACTATGGCAGGGGCTGGGGATTTAGCTCAGTGGCATAAGTGCCTGCCTTGCAAGCAGGCAGTCGTGAGTTCGATCCCCGGTACCGATAAAAAGGAAAAAGACCAAAAAAAAAAAAAAAAAAAAAAAAAAAAGGAAGAAAGTACTCTGGTCTTGTTCATATCTAAGAATGTACTGGCAACTCCCTTTTTATAAGATCTGATTTTGTTACATATTTTAAAATATAATGGTTTAAAGTTAATTGATGTTAAAATTTTCTTTGTTTTGATCTTAAATGAAGCTGAAACATGTAATCATGTTATAATAAGACTGGATACAGCCATTTTCCATTCCTCTAGTCATTGCATAGCATGCATGAGGAGAGTGAAGAAAAGCCATTCTAAATTAATGATAAGTGATTTTTAAAACTGTGTTGAATAAATTCTAACTGGTAGTGATTTTTCTCTTTTACTTTGGGAGCCTCAGTAAAACTAAGTGTGTTTTTAAAAAACACTTTGATAGGACTGTTATGAGCAGGAAGGTCTTATTCAGTATGTCATTTCATTTCTAGACCATTGATGGTGAAGACGATGAAGATCTGGAGCCATTTAAAATATATGAATATATTGTTTTTATATTTGGTGGTTAAAGCTCTAGCAAGTCTTGATTGTCTGTATGCGCAACATTCTTATTTCTGTGATTTCTGTGTCTCATCTCCATCCTGCATTTTTTTGAACCTAAGTTTGCAGCACAAGTTCAATGGGCTCTCCAGGAGTCTATTGCCCATAAAATCTCCAGTACCTGATTTATGTACAGGGGAAGTCTCTTGTTCTTAGTTGGAGTCATGAACTACAACTGATCAAATAACCTTTGGAGAAGATTGTATACTCAGTCTGCTTTTGAGATTTCCAAGTCAGATCAAGACCAGACTCCTGCAAGCCCCTTGCCTCCTGTAAACTCC